ACACAAGGAATGATGGGCAGCCTGGTCCTGGGCCTGGCCCGGGAACAGCTGGCTGGTATCGCCCGGGCCAAGTCGGGAAAGCAGGAAGGTGGCCCGGGCAGGGAGAGGCGCTGGTCTGTGTGGTGCTCATCACCCACTGCCTGTGAGTCCAGGCAGCAAGACAGGAGTCTTCAGGTACCTGATGGCACACCTGTCCCCGCCGGCATATACATCAGCTGTTACTCCCCACATCAGCCATGGAGCCAAATGCCCTCACAAAAGGGAGGGGTGATGACTGCAAAACATTGGCTTTTATACCCCTCGGCCTGCAGAGGAAGGGGCGGGGATTCGCCAGCAGGCAGAGGCCCCAGGACAGATGCTCCGAGGTTCCTGCCACCACCTGGTGCTTCTCCATTTCCACTGAGGCACCTCAGCAGATAAGGAAAGTAAACCCCATCTGACCCCAGACGGATGAACACAGAGCGCAAAACTCAGTGTTATATTTCTCTCAAACACGCATGCAAACCCTGAACACTAAAACAATTTACTATGCTACTACTAACATCCACACTTTCCACAAAAACCTGATACACATGGTCACACCGGAAATCTTCCCCCATCGTGAGTGGCCTGGTGGTACCTGCAAACTCCCTTAGCTTAAATTCCTCATGTGGACGGTTCTCAGGAGAAGATGCACAACTCTGCTAACTAAGGACCTTCATTTAGAGTAGGGGACACCATGTTTTCATCAGATTAGGAAGAAACTAAACCAAGAGGCAGGTATGGAAGGCATGGGAAACTCATGACATTGGGAAGATGTTTTGGACAACCTGTCACCTTCTATCAAAACGTCAACATCCTCCTCTTGGGCACAGCAACGCTAACAGCAGGAAGCCTCCAGCAGCCAGCCCGTAGCCTGGCCAGCACCGGGCCAGAGGATGCACCGGAGGATGCGCATGGGGGCTCCCAGGAGAAAGCTGGTGGTGCAGGAGGCAGGTTGGGACCTTGGTATCTGTGGACACAGAGCTGCCTGATGCAAGAGTCACTGAGCGGTGAGTCAGTGCCACGGAGCGTGACAAGGGGCCGGGATGCCTCTGCCCTCCCAAACTTTCACATCCCTGGAGCCATCTGAACATCTCCTAGCAGTGTCGGAGGGAAGATGCCAGCCATCCCAACCCCTGCCCCGTCCACGTACGGAAGCCGGTGGCCATCCTCCTGACATAGCCTCAGGATGACAGTAGACCAATGCTCCGTCGTAGGCCTATGTCACACCCTCCTCCATCTTGCGAGGAAGGTATTTTATTGTCTCACAGCATCACAAGGGAGAGTGCAGGACAGTAAGAATTTTCAGAGAGGGGGCACCTGGGTGGCTCACTCAGTAAGCCTCCAACTTTGGCTCAGGTCATGATCTCAAAGTTCACGGGTTTGAGCCCCGTGTCGGGCTCTGTGCTGACAGCTCGGTCTGGAGCCTGCTTCAGATTCTGGGTCTCCCTCTCTCTCTGCCTCTCCCCTGCTCATGCTTTCTCTCAAAAATACACATTTAAAAAAAAAAAAAAAAGAGCTTTAAGAGAGAGATACCACACTCACAGAACTTGTTACAGACACTGTGGAGATACCACAGGGTCAGTTCCAGGCCACCACGATAAAGCCAACGTTGCAGTAAAGCAAGTCATGTGAACAGTTTCATTTCCAGTGCACACAAAGCTACATGTATGTGTAGGCTGTCCTGTGGTCTATTCAAGTGTGCAACAGTGTTATGTCTGAAAGCCACCCATATCCATGTCTCAATTAAAAAATACTTTATTGCTAAAAAAAAAATGCTGTCATCTGAGTGGTTAGGGAATCATAATCCCCGATTACCACGACAAATTTAATAATGAGAAAGCTTCTGGGGCACCTGAGTGGCTCAGTCAGTTGAGCATCCGACTTCAGCTCAGGTCATGATCTCACGGTTCGTGGGTTTGAGCCCCATGTCGGGCTCTGTGCTGACAGCTCAGAGCCTGGAGCCTGCTTCAGATTCTGTGTCTCTCTCTCTCTCAGAAATAAAAACATTTTTAAAAAATTTTTTAAACATGAGAAAGCTTAGATATTGTGAGTTAACAAAGCGTGACCCAGAGACACAAAGGGAGCAAAGGCTGCTAGAAAAGCAGCAATGCCAGGCGTGCACGGCTCACGGGCACAGCCTTCAAGTGGCAAAAGAAGCAGTGCCTGTGAAGCACAAGCAAGCAGGGGCTGTAGGTAGGAGGTCTTGCGCCTGTGTGATTTCGACTCCTCTTTCATGAGTTGTTGTTCGCCTGTTACTGGGCCTAGTTCACAGCTCAAGCTCTCCCACAGGTACATCTGTACAAGAGAAAACAGTCAACGCGTACAGTCTGGCACAGTCCACGGCCTCAGGCACACCCACGGGGGGTGGGGGGGTCGTGGGATGAACCCGTGCTGAGGGCCAGGGGAGGGGCACCACACCATCCCAGTCAAACCAGAAGACAGAAGCACCAATGGACCCTAGACAGACCGTGCCTCTGGCTTAAATGTGGCTGTTTACCCTCTAGTTCGGTGACCAGAGCAGCACAATCTAGCAGAACTGTAAGGCAAGCCACCGGTTGTTTCTAAAGTCTCTGGTAGCCATGGTTAAAAGAAAAGTAGGTAAAATTAACTTTATCTAATCATGTCCAAAATATTATTTTAACAAGTAAATATTATTAACAATGATGTGTTTTGCTTTTTTTCGTATTGTCTTCAAAGCTCAAGTGTATTTTAGATTCTCAACTTAGACATTAAACTTTCATGAGAAAAACCTGACCTGTATTTAAAACTCATAGCTGAAAAATCAGACTCATGTACTGAAGTTCCTAACAAACTGAAGAATTTTCTAAAATGCTAATCAAGTTAATAAGCTTTAAGTTAAATAAAACTAAGAATCCAACCCCCCAGTTGGGCTTGTGCATCTCAAGTGCTCCATGACATCTGTGGCTAGCGACTGTGTACTGGGCAGGAGGGATGCAGGACAAGTGATTTGTCCAAGAGGGGTCCCCAGACCCACAGCATCAGCTGGGAACTTGCTAGCAAGGCCCACTCAGACCCATAAAACTGGAGACTCCGGGGGTGGGCCTGGCCCCGTTCAAACAAGCTCTCTGGGCAACTCTGAGCATGCCCAAGTGTGAGAATCACTAGGCCAGGACAAACATCACCAAGACAACTCGTAGAAAGTTGTGATCCCCTATTTGCAGAATGCAAACTGAATAGAAGCCCTTCCCCTGCGTCGTGTTTTGATACTGAGTAATTGCTTGGACTTTGTTAATCCAGGAGCAAGGGGAGGTCTGGCTGGGCAGGTGGATGACCAGTGGGTTAAGATCAGGACCCGGCTCCAATGGCTTTTGCCTCACCGTTTCTCAATGCCCAGTGTCACCAAGCATTGGGTTCTCTCCTAGACTGAGGCCATCAGTAGAATCCCAGCACTTAACAATCCGTATGGCCACAAGGCTGCTCTCTCAGAACAGGGGGCCACCTCTGAACATGGGCCCTTACCATAGTAGCCCCAAGACCTCCCCCTTCTTCTGGGCTCAGGGGTCAGTCACCACGGAAGCCACATGAAAAAGACCGAGTGACATCAGCTATACACATGTGTAAACAACAGATGCTTCCACCACACTAGGTTCTTGTGGGACTCAGGCCAGGTAACATTCAGATCCTTTGCTCTTCACGTCACAGCATTTGGGGGCAGAAGGCTGATGCGGAAGTTTAGCCAAACTCAGACTATCGATACCCTTCTGTGTATTTTGCCAAAATATGCATTTTACTGGAAAAGTTTCAATGACATCCCAGACTGTGTATCATGAGAAGAATAAAGGCGCCAGGGCACAGACGTGGTCTATAAAGTTAAAATATGCAAAACAATCTAAAGTCACCATGTGGACAGATACAGTCGCATCATCTCTTCACTTTCCGTCTGAAAGAGAACAAAACAACAGCTTATTTTTTTAGTCCTGTCTTGACAGGCCAGTTGCAGTTGATCATAAAAGAATCTGTATTTCAGAAACCAGCTAAAAAATGTAAACTGAGTGGTCCACTCTGTGCTGGAATGAAATGAATGGATAACCAGGGGCTCCGGAAAGCTCACATCCAGACCCTCCAGCACCCCTCCTAGTCTAAGCCAGAGACCAGGAGTAAATAATGTGAATGGCTCAAGTTATTAACTGCAATGCACCAACTTTTCCACGCTCACCAGACAAGAACCGCCACCCCCGGTACAGAGCAAGTGTATCTGTGCTCGCCGCTCAGGCCCTACCTGAGTCGCTGAGCTAGCCAACTGGACGACAACGTATGTAAAGTTCCCAACGGCTTGGATTCAGAGGTCCTGGCAGCTGCACACCTACACAGAAAGGTTGGACCAACGGTCACGACCCCTCCACGGGCTTACCTGGAGAGCCATGTGTGAGGTTAGGGAGCCAGAGCACTTACCCTCAACCCGGCTCGGGGACAGGCAACACTGGATATAACCAGGAACAAAAACATAAAAGTTACCCTTCCGCTTTCATTCAACAGCAGGCTTAGGCAGAGGTTTCTCCGACTCCAGAAAGGTGCTCTTGGTTACACTATTAGTGAGTGAGTTGAAGTGTCTCCCCACAAAAAGATAGGCTGACACGTCTTCAACACTCAGGACCTCAGAACATGATGTTTGGAAGTAAGGTCATCACAGATGTTATTAGCAGAGATGCACTCAGAGTGGAAAAGGGGGGGACCCTAATCCAAGATCACTGTGTCCTCATAAAAAGGAGGCACCTGGACACTGACACAGAGGGAAAACCCATGTGACATAGAGGTTGGGGGCAGGCGGCCACAGCCGACAAATGCCAAGGACCGCCTGCAAACCACTGGCGGTGGGGGGAGCGGCCTGGAGTGGGCTTTCCCCAGAACGTCAGAGAAGAACCTGCCACACCTCCATCTTGGACTCCAGCCTCCAGAGCACGGAGACAACGGACTTCCATTGGGTAAGCCGCCTAAGCCACAGCCACAGGAAACAACAACTAGAATCCAACTTTAATTTAGATTATATTCATTCAAAAGTCTACAACAAACAGTTCACATCAACAACTTAGTTCGGTGCAATGCTTGAAGGTGCCCCGTCCCCACCGTGAGGGGTCCAGGTCCGTGTCCATGAGCCAGCACGTCCCGGCTCAGCTGCTCCTCACCCGGCTACGCCAACAGCGCGGCTCCCGTGTTGGCAGCCATGATCCAGAGGGTGTCTGTGCGGAATACAGAAGCTGCCATGGCACTGGTCACAAATCACCTGCAGCAGCTCTTTCCTCCTGCACCCCTCTTTTGAGCACCGGCGTATAAAAACCTGAGAAAGCAAGAGTTGCTTTAACATGATTTTCTTTTTTTTTTTAAGTAATCTCTCTACCCAATGTGGGGCTTGAACTCACAACCCTGCAGTGAAGACTCACAAGTTCCACTGACAGAACCAACTGGGCATTTCAACTGCTTCAATAAGCAATTATTTAACAAGTGCCCAGTAAGACTGTCAGCATTTAAACTAGAAACAGTTCTTAGCTACAAGGAGTAAAAATATCAAGACTTCAGGCAAACATCTTATTGGCAGGTAAACACAAATACTAATTAAAGAGATGAAAAAGTTTTGACAACAGAAAGCAGTGCATTAAGCTGGGATTCACGTGAGGCAACTGGATGTGTCGGCAGCAAAAATTCTACCAAACCAGGGGAGTGGGGATGTGGAGGGAAGGAGGCCAAGCCTGTGGCATGGTGCACAGTCCCACCAAGGGGAGCTGGCTCTAGGGATTCTGGGGACATTCCAGGGAGACAGAAGACCTACAGCCCTTACTGCCATTAGTTACTGATGTTTTCTGCAGGAGAGGGTGGTGTCAACTCTGGGCGATGCAGACTCTGTGAAATCAGGAAGGCAGCCAAGAGGCAGCCACTTAGTGGCCTGAGGGCAGCCTTCTGGCAAAGACAGGGAGGTGTGTGGACTGTCGCAAGTTACCTGAGCATGCGCACCCAGAGCAGAGAGGCTGGGAGAGGCGTGGGGGGGGGGTGCTGCTTCAGGGGAGAAAAGGAGGGCATGCCCATCCTGGGGTGGGGACAGGGGTGGGCTTAGGTCATGAATCTGCAGTGAGCCAAGAATGAGGAGGACCTTGCCAGTGCAGGGGGAAAGTATGCCGAGGGGAGCCGTGCTCTTGTATAGATACAGGGAGGTTTTAGCAGAGCTGGCAGAGAGCCTGAAGGGCAAAGCATGCCGCCATACGGCCAGAGCAGCATGAACAAATCGGGGTTATGGGGGGACTGGGGTCAGCTGGTCGAGAAAGGGTGTTGTGTGCTGGGCTACTCTCTCATGTTGGAGGCTGGAAGCAGCAAGCAAGGGTCACCAAGCCCATCGATGCATGGCAAGCAGGGCATCTCAGAAACAGCCCAAGTACCTGGGGTGGGGAGGGGCCCTTCGGGAAGGGCGAGCTGCAGAGCTGCCTCAGCTGGGCCCCCAGGAAGGCTGGAGGGGCTCTGAGAATATGCGGGCCAGGAGGAGAGGGCACACGTTTACTTGCCCTCTCCTGAAGGCAAGGTTAGTGTGAATCTCCTGGAAGCGACAGGAAACAGATTTTCTGGAAAGGGAGAAATCCCCAAGACCAAGAAAAAAAAAACCACCAAGATTTTAGAGAAAAAAGCCCAACAATAATGAACTCGGCAGATGTGAGAAAGCTGAATTGTAGGCTGGTGCTGCAAGTCAAAGAAGCATCTCTGTTCACGAAACAAAACCCTCAAAACTCAGAAATTGGCAGTGCCTGCAGGTGAGGATGATGTGGGAGTACAATGGGAGAAAGGGGGAATCAGACAGCCACCCAGCACCTGCAGAGGCTCTGACAGAGGCTCTGGCCTGGGAAGCAACGGGCAAGAGGACCCCCAGAAACGTGGGAGGGGCACGCAGAAGGAGCTTATGCTCCCTCCTCCTGGCTCCACGACTCTGGAAGCCAGAGTGCGCACTCCCCAGGCAGGGAACAGAGCAGACTGCCTCTCCAGGGGACCTGCTTAGCCCAAGAGAAAGACCCTGAAGTCCCAGAGCTCCAGTTTCCTGAGAAAGTGGACCTGGCAGATGACCCAGAGTGAAGGCCAGGGTCCACGCTGCCCCCACTGTGCAAGTGCACAGCCAGCTACCGATCGAGCACGGAAGAGGGCCTTCACTGTGACGCACAGCTGGCACCCTGGACACAGATTTCACAAGGAAAGAAAACTTTAGGGGGAAATAAAAGGAGACCGATCCAGAAGGTCCAGCACCTAAGGAGCAGAAGTCTACAGGACATCAAAGAATCCAAACTCCAGTCAGAAGCACCAGAGTTTCCGGTTTGGAAGGGCCCCCTGCCCGCCTAGCGTGACAGATGAAGACACATCTATACCAGAAACACTCCATGTGAAGCTTCTGGGACAATTCTGGGACAATGAGCAGATCCTCCAACTGCCAGAAGCAAAACTTGCCCCACAAAGGACCGCTGTGGAACAGCAACACAGAGTTCTACATAGAATTCTCTACACCAACAGCAAAAGTGAGGAAATGGACCAGGGCGTGCAAATACCCAAATGAAGAATTCAGAACCTGATTGCTACCTCAGGCAGCTAAGCCAGCAGAAACCAAAAACGAAGATCCAACAAGGTATGCAGCCTCCATTTATCTTCACAGTTCTTCCCAGGGAGTAGGCAGGTCCTGTGCCTACCACCAAACAGAGGAAAAACTAAGAAAGAAAAACACAAGACCAGAAAAGTAGGGAAACTCAGATCTAGCCTTAAGAGAAACTCAGAAGGAATCGTTAAGCTGTGTCCACAAAGAGATGAGCCCCAGAACGCCTGCACAGAGGCCACACTCCTCGTCTCCTTGGGGCGGGGCAGGTGGTGGCATCCAGAGATGTGGCGGCGCAGCAATGGGGCAGGGAGCTTGTGCTCAGCCACACTGTGCTGAACCAGTTACTGCCCACGACTGCCAGGGAACAAGCAAACTCAAGGTACAAGAGTGCACACACTGGGAGAAAAGGAAGAACCCCAAGCGGACAAGACTGGCTAGGAGCGGAAAGCCCTGGTGTGGAGCAAGGGACCTGCTGTTTACATGACACAATTTAGTCCAAGTAAACAAACAGTACAATTCTCACAAAGAACACTGAACGGACAAACTTTATATATCCTCTTACGTTTACTAGGAGGAGCTTAGACCAAGTGCATATTAACAAATGATTCTAGAAACCACATTAGCTCTCTATTTGGGGAGGAAAAGTATGGAATTCTTATAAAAGAAGGAAATCGTAACGTAGACTCTAATATTTAGAAAATGTGTTCACATATCTGTAGAAACCCATACCATCCACAGCATGGGAAAGCACGGATGTCACCAAGGTCATATCTTGTACGGAAACGAGCAGGACCACAGACCACAGTTAGATAACGGACCTTCTCCCCCATGGAAAAAATCACCATCCACAGAGTGGACAGAATTTGTTCTTACCTTCTCTTTCTTCTCAGGATGATAGCCACAGTCTCGATCAATGTGCTCACCAACCACCACATCAGGGATCTCTCCCTTTTTTACTGGAACTGGTTTGTTACAAAGTGGGCATACTGGGACCCGAACGTCCTGAAAACAATGATATAAAACAATATTCCAGATTCAGACAAAACTCAATAAAGAAAAAGGTACAACGTATTGAAAATCAAATAGAGGACACACACGGATATTCCAAATGCTTCTGAGAAGACAGTGTGGCTCCCACAGAGGAATCATGGCAAAGGCATCCCTACGGATTCAGAGCAGAGCTGCCAAGTAGGATCCAGGAGAATGTAAACATAACAGACCACTAACCAACTGTGGAAACCACCCCGACATGGTCAGTAACAGGCAGGCGAGGAAAGAAGCTGGTAAAACGGATCTGGTCTCAGGGCAGCAGGGCTGTTCATCCAACATTGCCCCGGCGGGTGGGGAGCCAGCCCAACACCTCCCGAACAGAGAGAACGGAAGGGACACTGCCATCAACCCCCTCCAGCTCCCTTCAATGGCCAACAGCCCACCCAGATCCTTCTGCGGCTTGCGCCTAGAGGGCACACAGCTAGGCTGAGCTCTCGAGCACCTAACAGCCACCCAAGCCCACAGAGGTAGGGGCTCTGGAGGGAGAACAAGGCGCCCAGCAGCTGCATGCGCCACAGTTAAAAACCTCATAGCCAGGAGGAGCTAAGGAAACTTAGCTCAGCAAGAAAACGGACTTGACAACTGACATCCAAAACGTGTCACCACAGAATGGGGAGGCCTGCTGTTTGTGCGCTGGGCCACAGGGTCGCCAGGAGCACTCCCTCAGTTGACAAGTCTGTGCCAAATAAGGCTATCTAGGGACATGGGGAGGTCAAGTCAACAAACGAACTAGCTAGTTTGGCTTAGTCATCAAGGCCTGGTAAATATGAGTAACCCTCCCTCACCCCCCATGAGGACCTAGAAAATGTTGGAAGGTCAGACCGCGCCAACACTAATGAAAGCATGCAATAATGCTAATTAGTCATTCACCTGTCTAACTGCCATTCCAAGGAAGCAGCACTACGGATACAGAGACGCTAACATAACCTCTGAATCAGGTACCTGAGTGGCTCAGTCGGTTAAAGGTCTGACTCCTGGTTTCAGCTCAGATCATGATCTCATGTTACATGGGTTAGAGCCCCACAACAGGCTCTGCATTGACAGCACAGAGCCTGCTTGGGATTTTCTCTCTCTCTCTCTCTGCCCCTCCAATTAGTGCTCTCTCTCTCAAAATAACTAAACTTAAAGCAAACAAAAAAAAACCTCAAAATAAATAAACTTAAAAAAAAAAAAAAAACCCTCAGAACCACCAGAAACAAGATGAATACAGGCTAGAAGCCACCTGCAAAGCCAATAACAGAGAGGGTGACACCTTTGGACTCATGCACATTGATTTTCTTAGAGTCCTCTTCTTCTTGTTTCTCCCACATACTATTTGCCACTAAATAGATCCCAAGGTTGTGAAGTTACCCAAATTAACTAGCATTTTAATAGCTTCCAGATCAGGTTCCTTGCCAAATATTAAACCATTTCTCGCACTTCACTAAGATACCAGTATGATTTTCCTTGGCATAACAAATCAGAGGAACTAAATGTTTTAACATGCGAAATACACTCTCTCAAGGTTTGGATATAACAATTTGACTTCATGATCCCTGAAGATAAAATCTGTTGCTTTAGAGCTGGGCCACCCGAAGTTCCCGGGATGGCAGAAAATGCCAGGTCTGCGCCGTCCGTAGCCACACGTGGAGGCCAAACACTGTGTGACAGCGAAACTGGATTTTAAGTCTTCTTTCATTTTAATGAAATTATTGGCTCTATGTGGTGAACGTCTACCCTTCGGACAGCACAGCTTTAGACAGCGAGAGCTAGAGTCTCTGAAATAAAATAAATTACCTTCTTGAACGCAAACGGACATTTATGTGCAGCACAAGTAAAATGGTCTTTACCGAAATCTTGTTTACATGCATCACAGTTTAACGGAAGAAAATCTAAAAAAAACCAAAAAGACACCAAAGAAAAATAAAGTGGCTTAAAGATTAGAATGAAAAGATTATAGATCACATCAAACAGGTATTTATGTACAATCAGTTCTTTACGCCTATCAGATATGTCCCTGAGGTACCAGAGGTGAGGAAAACGTTGGGGGTGATGGATTTCACAATGGCAGGTCTGAAGAACCTACTAAGCTGCCTTTTCAAAAAAAACCCGACCCACGTAGAACAAATATTTAAGCAGCATACCTGTATCCACGTGGCCTTGGCCCTGGTTCCTGGCCTTCAGGAGCCACTACATAACAACGGTGAACAAAACCCGGACCTCAGGCGGCCTCCCAACACTGAGGAGCTAATTAATAAAATGGCCAGTTCTCCCCCAAACGGACAGCCAACATACTTTCTATTCACGTTCTCTTAGAGGTGCTCACCTAGCTGTTTGCAAGTCTCTTCTGAACAATGTTCCCCCAGGTCCGGGAACTCCATGATCAGGGGAGTCCGAATCACAGTGGCGCTGGGGACCGCCTGGAGAAGGAAAGCCGTTAGGAAAGGAAGGACGGCCATGGTTTCAGCCAACAGAGTTCATAGCTTCCAGCTGAGGAAAAGGAACAAACGCGCTCTGCAGGAAGCACTCGAAGTGCAAGTGACCCCCTGGGCCTCTGCAGGGGACTAAAGCATCACACATTCTTGTTCCTTCAGCAAAAAGAAAAAAATGAGTTTCCGTACAAGCACTAGCTCATTGAAAATCACTCCCACTATGACAGCGATGGTTTCTTGTAATTCAAATTGCTACTTGGGAAAGCTCGCCCCGTCCAGGTTTGCATTGAAACCACTTCGACTCACAGCCACAGGCGTTTCCCATATTCAATTTACACAACTGCTCACAAAGAGTTGGGTCGCGGGGTTCCATCTGAGTATACTTGTTGACAGAAAAGTGTCACCAGGGGCTAAGTCCCATTAGCTAACGACGCTACCCTAGAGACTCAGCTCTGTCCCTACTGATGCCCTCAGCTCCCTCCTGCGTGGAGTCTCACTCAGGACTGACTCCCCGAGGACAACACCCCGAGGCTGACGAGGAAGGAAAGCAAAGCCATTCACTCGCGGTGGAAAACGGGCCAAGGGAAGCTACGTCCCCGGACAGGAAACTCCGGTCCGCAACGCGACTCGCAAGGCCCCTTCAAGGACTCAGCACCCACCAAACCTCTCACAGCTTGCCCCATTCCGCCCCCCGCCAGAAGCCAAGTCCCGAGGGGCTTTTCCGGACGTCCCCAGCGGCTGCCTCCGTCCGGGGACGGGTCCACCACGCAGGGCCCGGCCCGCGTCCGCCCGTCCCCTTCCCCACGCTCACGGTGCCGGAACGCGGCACTCCTGTCTCAGCACGCGACCGCTCGGGCTCCCGCCGGCGGCCCTGGCCCGGGGCCCGACCGCGCAGCGGCACGGGACGCCTTCCGCGGGCGAGCCAGCCGGGCCCGCGCCTGCCCCCGACGCCCGCGACCCGGCGCCGCACCTGGCTCTCGACGGGACCACGGTGGCCGCGGAGGAAGCCCGGCCGCCCCTTCCGGTGGCCAGCCGCCGGGGACGAGGCCAAAGAGGAGGCTGAGGAAATCGGGAGCCGAGGGACAGCGATCCGCCGACGAGCCCAGAGGCGAGCGAGACATCTCGCAACGTCCCTCCTTCCGCCGTTTATTCGCCTCCTCGGGTTCTCAGAGAGCCGGCGGCCCGGACCCGCCCCCCACGCCCAATGACGTCACCACCAGACCGGCCAATCCCGCCCCGCGCGCCTCAAGGCGTCATCGCCCGGCAGGCCAATCCCGCCGCCGCCTCTGCCCTTCCGCTCCTAGCTCCTCCGCCTCCCTTCTCGAACATTACGGCCGCGTCTCTGGGCCGCTCAGTCACCGTGAGTCGGCTCCGCGCAGGCGCACTGGGCCGGCGGCGCGGCGCGGGAAACCTGAAGCAGGGCTGGCGAGGCCGCGGCGCGGGGGCTGAAGCGGTGGGCGGCTTCCGGGGTACCGCGCGCGGAGGGCCCGAGTCCATGCCGTGGAGGGGCGACCGCCAGGTACGAAGCCGGCTTGGCCCGGGCGGGGGCTTCCCGGGAGGGGGCTTCCCGAGCGGGAAAGAGCGCCTGCTGGCCCCGGGGGGAGACGGCTCCCGGTGCAGCCTCTTGGGCTCCGCCGCCGCTGCCGCGTCCCCGTGCTTGTCCCCTCACCTGTGCCCTCACCGCGTCCCTGTACTTGTCCCCTGACCACCTCACTGCGCCACTGTACTTGTCCCCTCACCTGTGCCCCCGTGCTGGCCCCCTCACCGCGTCCCTGTACTTGTCCCCTGACTTCCTCACCCTGCCCCCGTGCTTGTCCCCTCACCTGTGCCCCCACCGGGCCCCTGTGCTTGTCCCCTCACCTGTCTCATCCCCATGCCCCTGTACTTGTCTCTTCACCTTGTCCCCATACTTGTACCCTCACCACATCCCTACACGTGTCTCCACACGTGTCCCCATACTTGTCCCCTCCCTATGCTCCTGTGCTTGTTACCACATTGTGTCCCTGTACTTGTCCCGTCATTGTGTTCCCTCATCACATCCCTTCACCTGTTCCCTCAACGCACCCCTGTACTTGTCCCCTTATTTGTTCCCTCAGTGTGTCACCTTGTCCCCTCACATGGGTTCCCTCAATGCATCACTTTGTCCCTTCACCACGTCCCCTTATCATATTCCCTTACCTCGTCAGCTCACTGTCCCCTTTCCACAGTCCAGCACTTCTCCTTTTACTGTATCCCCTTGTCCCCTCACCCTGTCACCTCACTTGTCCTCTCACCATGTCATCTTGTCCCCTACTGTGTCACCTTACTTGTCGCCTTACCATATCCCCTTATCCCCTCTCCATGTCACTTTGTCACTTTACCATTTCTCCTTAGTGTGTCACCTTACTTGCTCCATCACAGCCCCTTGCTGCCCACAAATGTGTACGCAGTTGATTTTCTCTCTGGGAGCAGGTGGTTTTGTGCTGACCCAGCAAACTGAATCAGTGTTTGCACGGGGCTCCCAGGGTAACTTCCTCAGGAGCCCACGGTCACATCCAGCCGTCAGTCCCTAACCTTGTTCTACGTGTGTTTTTGTTTGAAGACAACTTGTGTTGATGTGTTGTTGGTTCGTTCGCGTTGAACTCACAGCCAGCAGCACCGTGACTCATGCCTGAAGCCGGGCTGTCCGCCGGTGATCTCGGGAAGGTGCGTCCCAGCCTCCTGTGCTTGGGAAACTGGACGGCACTTGAGCACCAGCTTGAGGGCCACTTTAAACAGCAAGATTGCCACTGAAAAGCACAAGAATGTGACGACTATGACACTAAACAGGCTGCAAAATGGGCACATATTTAGTGTACCGGAGGTGAAATGTGAAAGAAGGCAGGGGTCCTCCCGTGTGACCTTGGTAGAAGTGTGTTCCTCGGGGAACTTGGGCTTTTCACCATTCTGCATGTGTTTGTGAGTAACTGCCAAAGTACCACAAGTGTTGATTTTGGAGTACAAATAAGTTTAGCAGATAGGCAAGTTGACAAATGTGGAATCCACAAATAAAAATCTGGCGGGTCTGTGTGTATCTGTATTTCTACATGTATGTACCCATTTTTTAGTCTTTTTCTGAACCAGTTGAGGGTATGCTTTAGGTGATCACCCATCACCCCCAAATATTTGTGTGTATATTTCCAAAAGCACACGTTCCTATATAACCATTCTGTAGCCGTCCACATGAGGAAATCAGTATCCAAACAACATTAAGGTCCAATCCCCAGACTCCATTTGGATTTTGCCAACTGTGTCAATGTCTCTTTTTCTTTTCTGCCTTAGGGTCCCATCCACAATCACATGTGCAGTCTCCTCCCTGCTGGGACAGGTCCTCCATCCTTCCTGTTCCTGACAGTTTTTGTTAAAGACCACAGGTTTATCTTACTTATGAGATGACTCAGGGTCCATGGATGTTTCCCCAGGACCAGATTCAGGTCCTGTTTCTTGTCGCAGTACCACAGGAATGGTGCTGTGCTGCAACCCATCCTACCGTGGGTGATATTCTTCTTGATTATCTAGTCATGTGGATGGCTGCTAGGTTTCTCCTTTTTGTTACTTGTAAATTTGTTAGTATTTTATAAGGAGATATTCTGAGATTCCACCATTATTCTTCATCAGTCTTTGCCTGGCAACCTTTGGCTTTATCAGTGACTTCTATCTGGATCACTATGATGATCAATGCCCAAAGTAAGCTCTACCTGCTTCGGATTCTGTGTCTCCCTCTCAACTCTGACCCTCCCCTGCTCATGATGACTCTCTCTGTCTCTCTCTCTCAGAAATTTAAAATAAATAGATAGATAAATAAACAAACAAATAAAGTAAGCTCTACACTCAATGCAGGCCTTGAACTCACCACCTGGAGGTCAAGAGTCACATGCTCCACCAACTGAGCCAGCCAGGTGCTGCCCAAATAGTGCTTTTTAAAAATTCCATCATTCCTTTTGCATTTATTATTTGGTATCCTGTAAGAGCAATATTTCCTTTTTGTTTGTTTCTTTATACATTTATTTATATAAGTGTATATTTGTGGCTTTTTCTTTTACTTGGTGGTCATGTTCTGTTGCTGTCATTTTTTTTTAAGGTTTATTTTTAAGAGAGAGCACACATGGGAGCGGGAGAGAGAGAGAGAGAGAATCCCAGCGTGCTCTCAGCACAGAGCTGGACCTGGGATTCGAACTCACAAATCATGAGATGAGCTGGCCAAAACCAAGAGTTGTTTGACTGAGCCACTCAGGTGCTCCTGTTGCTGTTGTTATTTATTTTGATGGCCAGAGAGCCCCATCCAGCTGGCTCTTGAGTCCTTTTTATATGTCCCAGTCATTCTCGGCTCCATTCCTTGCCTTTTGCCACAAGATGCCCTAGGCTCATCTTGTACTCTTCCTGCTGCAGCCCTGAAATCAGCCATTTCTCCAAAGAGCATTGTTCCTTTTAGTGGAGGATAGTATTTAGAAATCAGGATGTGAGTGTGTGGTGTGCCTGTTACTAAAAGGGTGTCTTGTCATTTCTTCTAGGCCTTCTCAGCGGACACAGGCCAGCAAATATGTATTAGCTTACATATACATACACATCCGTAACTATCTGTACCTGTGTACTTCTTTTTTAGGAAAACATCCATATTCTTACCTTCAATTCCAATCCAACACCTCAGGATTTTTTTAAATTTTCTCTTTTTTATGTTTATAAATAACTCCTCCATAAATAAAAAACCTGGGTTTCATTATCCTATTTTTTTGTTTATGTTTCTTTTTTGAGAGAGAGAGAGAGAGAGTGAGAGTGGGGCAAGGGCAGAGAGAGAGGGAGAAACAGAATCTGAAGCAAGCTCCAGGCTCTGAGCTGTCAGCACAGAGTCCGATGCGAGGCTCAAACTCATGAACCTTTAGATCACGACCTGAGCCAAAGTTGGATGCTCAACTGACTGAGCCACCTGGGCGTCCCACATTATTCTATTTTCTTATTTTTTGATTTGTTTATTTGCTTGATGTAACAGACCACTCTGGCTATCACCTCACTTGCTTTGTGCAGACTCCTTCAGCATCTTGAGTGATTGTAGGCATTTCCGCCACGAACCCGTCTCCCTACCCCCTTCTTCCAGTTGGTGAAATTCAGTGCCAGTCAAAACCTTCAGTTTTCTTCCAGAAGATTTAAAAGAAGACAATTTACTAAGGAAGCATAAATACAAATACCAGCTTTTAAGATGTTTATTATTCATGGGTCATAAGTCATGTGTATTATTAATGAGGAAAGTAAGTTAGATATTGCCCTTTCTTGTAAATTTTATCTCAAATGTTGAAATGAAAAGTCTTTTTTTTTTTTTTAATTTATTTTGAGAGGGAGTGTGTGTATGCGAGAATGGAGGAGGGGCAGAGAGAGAATCCCAAGCAGGCTCCAGCACTGTCAGTGCAGAGCCCGATGGGGAGCTCGAACTCACAAACCCTGAGATCATGACCTGAGCCAAAATCGAGAGTCAGATGCTTAACTGACTGAGCTCCTCAGGCACCCCAAAATGTCTTTAGATACTTATATTCCCAGATTATCTGAGTCTTGCTAGAACCAATTATAACACACTAAAATATAAAGTTTTATGTTATATTTACATTAACTACTGAGTTTTAGAGCAGAAGTCAGAATCTTGCATGGAATCAAATATGCCATGCTACAGATTCATAGTTTTGCACTTAGTAGTATATTTCTTATTGCTGTTCTTACAAATTACTATGGCTTAAGTGGCCTAAAACAATACAAATTTATGGTTCTGGAAGTCAGAAGTTAAAAATGTATTTCACGGCCTAAAATCAAGGTGTCAGAAGGACAATGTTTCTTCTGAGGGCTATAAGACATACCTTCCATGCCTTTTTCAGCTTCTGAAAGTTGCTCACATTCTTTGGCCAATCATAGCACCTCAGCCTCTACCTCCATTGCCACATATGCTTGTCTGACTCTCATTCTCCCCCTTTCACGTAAAAGGATTGCATTGAACCTGATTGTGCAAATTAGGATTACCTCCCCATTCAGGATCCTTAGCATGAGCATATCCACAAAGTCCCTTTTGTCATATAAAGTAACAGATTCGTGATTCCAGGACATGGACCTGGGGGTGAGTGAAGCACTATTCTACCTACCACAGGTGGTGACCATGCAGCCATTAGGAGAAACAAGATTCTTGATGAATCATGGGAATCTACTCCCGAAGTCAAGAGCACACTGTATACGTTGTATGCTAGCTAACTTGACAATTATGTTTAAGAAAAAAAGGAAAAACAAGATTCTTCAAAATAAAAGTTAAGATGTTAAAATTTGTCAGTGTTATACTTCTATCTCCTTTTTGAAATGTAAAAAACATTTCATGAAAAACACCCAAATTTTGAATAAACATTTTCAAAACAACTAGATTCATTAATGAGTTTTTGACCAAAGAAGAGAAATGTAATTGGTTGGACACTACTCCCTCCCATTCCTAGATACAGACACACACAATCATATGTGTGCACACTTACATGGATGGGCATTTGTGTGCCTTCTGAGAATGACAGTTTGTCCACCGCATGAGCTGGCACTTGGGGATTGTCAGGGGAAGATATGAAAGTGGATAACCCAGGAGCTTTACCAGGAGTGCACTGGGTCTACCTCTGCTGTTCTTGGTCCTGATCTGGCTAAGACCAAGCCAAATTGTTGTGGGAACAAAAGATTATCAAGTTGAATTTTTAAAGTGCAGGTTTGCCATTGACTGAAGTCTGCATGCACATAAAAAGTTGCCACCAAGCACAAGTTAAATGATCTACCTCTAAGCTTCTTACCACATCAAGATTAAGGGCGTCCTAAGATGTCCTCTGATAACTGCCTTGAAGTCACCAGGAAAGGAAGGACCTTGTGATACTTGGATGCTCCACAGGGAAGGGGATGCAGACCTTGGAGCCTTGATTAGGAAACCTCAAGAAGTCTACTTCAAATAAAGAGGCTGCAGTGCGCATCCAGCTATACATTTCTCTATCAAGGGATGCCAGTGTTCTTCACCAACAGCTCACTCTTCTGATCTCTCCTTTAAATATAGGGAAACTGAAGCACAGGAGTGTTTGAAACCCAATCTCCTGGGTTCACGTTTGTAATTCTTCCTCTGCCACCTATACCAGCCGGAGATGAGAGTGGAGAGCCAGGCAGGGACCAGACCATTCAGACTTTATCTTGAATGCAGAGGTATTGTAGAAAACTTTCAAAGATTAGCTTTGAGGAGTGGACAGGTAACAAAATTTATATGTGCTTCACACAGCTGTACAAAGAATATCCAACATTCTCTGTGTTGTAAAATGGAACTCCACTTTGGAGCCCCCAGACTGCTGTGTTCAGGCAGCTATTCTCACTCCTCAGCATAGCCCAGCCTGCAATGTTTTTTGTTTGTCTTCTGTCTGGGTTCAGTTTATCTCGACCTAATTCACTGTTGGGCTCAGATCTTGGTCAATCCAAGGCGTCTCCCTTCAACTCCTCCCTCCTTTCTCCTTCAGTGGCATCTGGGTTTGGGGAAGCTGGATAGAAAACCTCATGGCAGCAGAGGCCTTGGTGTCCTCCCTAGGCCCCTGCTTGTGGTAGACCTGTCCCACCACCTCTGCCCATGTGCTTGTATTTGCTGCTGCTGGCCTCTGATCAGGGGCTCATTACATACAGTGTCAGCCTGACCAGACCCTAGGTTACATCTGTTTCAGTGACCCTCTCAGTGTCCTGTGCCAGTGCACAAAGGGATTTGGGAGTTTCCTATAGTTCTAGAGGCACCACTTCAGGTCTTCTGCTTGCCTGACTGCGTCCCAGGTAGCTGCCCCTGTGCTCTCCCTGCCCTGGCACAGAGAGGTGTCTCTTCTAGAGAAGAGCTGGAAAGGGGAAACTGAGCAGGGACTCCTCTGCTTTCAAATTCTCCCTCTACTCATCTGAATTGTTTGCCATCTCACTTGAGGGCTGTAGGATGAGCATCGGGTCCATTCTCAGAGACCCGAGCAGGTGTCTTCCTTTTCAGAGCTCTTCAAACTTCACAGACCTGGAAGTATTTTCTCCTGA